CAGGTTTGAAATGAGGGTTCCTTGGTACTGTCTGAGCTTGGTTGTTTGCTTGGAGAAGTTTCATTACCTAACCTCAGTAACATCATCAGTGCACCATCAGAAAACAACCAAGCTCAGAGAACGCCAAGGAGCCCACAATTAGTATTGTTGAGAATTTTTTTGACAATTGTTAAAAGATGAAAGAAGATGAGGTTTTGTATGCAACCTGTTTTATTTGAGGGAAAAAGGTCATAATTTTTCAGTTTTTCAAACAAATCTGCTCTAGAGGATTGGGGATCATTTCCCTCAATGTGTGAAAGAGCAAAGAAGGAGGATGAGAAATGAATAAACAGGGCTTTCTTTAACTATCTTATGCCTGGAAAGTGTGGAGTGATGGATGGGATACCATTACAGATCTATATCCCTTTCATTCTATGGGAAACAGTGATTGTAGTTTTTTTTTCTATTTTCTATCTGGAAAAGACAGACACAGTATTAAAAATAAAAGGTTTATCCCTCATTTATTCCATTCTAATTCTAATTTCTTCAGGGAGGGGCTATGCTTTAACGCAAAAAAAAAATGGGAAAAGATATAGGACTCCATGTTACATCTAGTTTAATCTTGAAGTAAATCTGAATTACAAACTCTGCAATTTAATTATCATTCCAAACAAAGAATGCCTTACTCCCCAATGCATAGGGAGTGGCTCTTTTCTGTATTCTGTGCAACATTAATACTTAACAAGTACAATCTTGAATAAGAATTTGCGCCCAATGCAAGTCTGCCATGAACAAGTGATCTTTCTCCAAGCTAGCTTCTCTTTTAAGCAAAAGGGTGGAATAAAATCAATGTATTAATTACTTGTAATTTTTAATCTAAGTAACATCATTATAGGTATTAAGTCTTCCTCTTAAATTTTTCTCATTTAAAAAAAAAGTCATGATACAATTTGTAAGCAAGTTCTTCATTCAGATAATTGCTGAAATTTTGCAATAATCTTACCAATTAACTGATTTATTGTGACACATTAATCTTAGCTAGCTTGCATGCAGCAAGCAACACTATAATAAAAAGTTCATTCCATTCCCAGTGCATGTTGAACGTGTCATCTTTCTAAATATTCTTTACAAAACATATACAAAAAGTGCTGTAAGAAAGGCCAACATTTAAGGAATGTGTCTTTAAAAAAAATTCACACCTGAAATAGCAATTTGGCTTCTCTCACAAAAGTCTAAATTTAAATAAATAAATCTATGTTCAAATATTTTCCTTGTACCCAAGTATACAAAATATCCTTTGATTTAATTTTTTTTGAATCACTCAACCTCTGGATTCTAAATCCTAGATTTTCCCTGGTTATCCATATTTGATAGCTAATTATTTTTAGACAGCCTAAACGTACATAACTTGTAAGCACTTAAATTTTAAAACACATCTAAGTTAGGGCAAAATTTACTCTCACAATTTTGCTGACTTCAACTATCAAATCTATCTTGAACATGAGTGTTGCAAAAGAAGTTGGGATAGTAGTTTTTGTTTGCCTGTATTTCCATGCATCTATCTTTACATCAAAACTTCTGTGTTTTATTTTGCTTTGCATGATTTCAATTAAGACAAATTTGAATCCAGGAAGTTCTATGTAGCTGATAAACTTGTTTGGGAAGGATAAAAGAAACACTTTGATTCATTCCAGAATTTTTAGACACTCCTCACAAAATTAGCAACTATGACTAACAATATGTTATCTCAACTTTCCATCAGACTTTTAAGCTGGCTTCTGTAGAGGTCTCTCTCTCTTTTATCTACAAAACAAGTATGTGAGGGAGACTCAGCTGTCCAAGAATGACTGGCCTAAATCCCATACTGTCAGTGTGGTTAGTCCACAAGACTATTTTCCTTCCCTAGAGAAGCCAACTTTTAATGAGTTTGTGGGAAAATTATTTCCTTTAAGTAGACAGACTATAAGTGTTAGTTTATGTAATTGATATGCTTAAATAACTGATTTTTTGGCCAAAACAATAGTTAAGTATAGATAAGCATTAGAAAGAACATTAATTTCTATTACATTTTTAAAAAATTACAAGTGAAATAGCTTGCATTTGAAGTAAAAATTATACTTATTTTTTATATAAAGGAACAAATGCAATTGTCACTTTGACTTTTCCAATTAAAGAGAAAAAACAGTGACTATCAACATCTCTAAAGGGCATGTTTGGCAGCAACTATAAGTTCCTCTTCTACAACTCCAATAAGCTTTGTTATTCCATTAGTTCTCAAAGCACCACTTTACACACACTCAATCTTCTGTAATTGGCACCCTCCAGATGTTTTGGGATCCCAAATATACTTTGCTGTCTGAAAATCTTTGTAATTGCTACTTCAACATTTCTGGAGGCACCAACCTGAGGAAATCTAAATTAATGTATCACACGAAGCCTACTATGGTAATATGTTAACTTCTGGGCATATTTTTCCCTTAACTACAAAAGGCTTGCACAGTGCTGCAGATATTCCCCTATTTGGCCATAATTCAATTCCAGCTCAGTCTAAAAAAACAGATTACATGCTGATTTGGTATCAACCAACAAGTCAGGGCAAAGGGAACGTTGCTCTCCCACCCATTCTGAAAGCACAAAGGCCATTTGCTTTTCCAGCTCTGACCGGAAGGTTAGGATTTGTGAAGAAGAGCAGACACACAGACACAGTCAAAATACTCGCCTTCTCTTATTTTATTTATTTTTGTCAATTGCTTACAAGATAATAGGTATAAGTAAAAACATAGTCATGAATATATGGATACATATAAAAATACAAAAAATAAAAGAAACAATAAGACAGGGACGGTAGGCACGTTGGTGGGCTTATTGCACGCTCTGCATTGGTTTAAAACGATGAGCAAAGCTCGTCAACTTCGGATGAGTAAAAGGTGTGGCAACCAGTTTGATCCAGAGCCCTTCGAAGTAGTCTCAATGAATAATTTTCGAATGATGTTGCAATTCACCTTCTTGCATCTTTAAAATCCTCCATGGATCTATAACAAAGGCCTCGTTGTCTGCCTGTTACCCCTCTATCTCCCCTTGCGTCTCACTTTATTCAAAAGTGATTCACTGCCATGCAAAAGAAGATTTTGAATGGCACTCCGGGTTTTCTGCTCATTACCTGTTTCTCCACGGCTACTAGTTTTGCATAAAAGCGAGACTGACGGCACCCATATACGTAATTTGTTTCCAAGCAAGGCCTGTATTATATCCTTTAATGTGAACCAGTGTGCCCTTTGCAAACTATTGTCTCCCGGGAAAGTTTCTTCCCAGATATGTTTTTCGATTTAATTCCGTCCCTTTTACCATCCCCCTCCCCACATCGACTGAATAAAGCGAGACTTGACAAAACTCCCTCTAGGCTAAACAATGCACGCCACTTGCCGCCAAGACTTACTGTAGTCCATGAGAGAATTGCACTTCCACCCTGCATCGCCAGGCTTATCTTTCACACAGTCCCACCACAACCAGGCTTTACGCACGTAGGGGGCTTCGGCCGACTCCAGCCACCCCTTGCCAGCTAAGGCTATGATGCCAAAGATGATGGCTATCCCCAAGAGAAGGGGCAGGATCCATCTGCACCTCCAGCAGGCCAGGCCGCACCTGAACATTTTGCTCCGGCAGATTTCAGGCGAGGAAGAGGAGAAAAAGCAGGAAGTGTGGCTCGAAGTTCCCCTTTAAGGCCAATATCCTCGGGCCGGGCTTTGAGCCTGGGAGAAGGCGGCGGAAAAGGCGCTGCGCTTTTTAAGCGGCGGGCAAGGTTCGAAGGACGGCCCCGCCTAGATTCCGGGCGCGGAGAGCGGCTGTTGCTGCTTGGAAGAACCTGTCGAGCGAGAGAGAAACTGACGCTAAACAAACCTGGATTCCAAGCAACCTCCCAGGCTTTTAACTCTTTCTCCACGGGGAGGTAGCATGCATATCCTGAGGTGCGGTTCTGTGAGGCTGTTGCTAATGAAAGGACAGCAACAACTCCCGAAAAATAGGCTCATAAGTGAATGGACATGCTGTGGGTAAAGCAGTAAGTAAGGATAATTAATTAGAAGGAATGTCTAAGGCCACGTGCTTAATAATAGGTTGGGAATGATGATATCTCAGAAATTACTTTCCAGATGTGTTCCTTCTTTTTCTTTTGAATGACGGTTTTTGTTTTCTTAAAGGTTGGCCATTTCAGCCCAAACTTCAAAGCGGAGACGTTCCAAATAGTTTGGAACCAGCAACTTACAAAATTCCCAAGCCGGAATTCAGGTGTTTGCACTCAGGGTTGGACACCACCAAGTTGAGAAAGCTGCTGTAAGAGATCTAAAACTACCTTCTTGTACACTTCTTTGGAATGTGTAATTTATTTGAATAAGTAAAAAGCGAAGAGACCTTGCTCTCAATTTTACAACCAGCAAGAACAAAACTGCAGTTATCTTTGTCAGTGATCAAACTTATTAACTATTTTCAGGAATGTCTCTTTTGTTTCTGCTCTTTAACCAAAGAATATCATCTTTAACCAAAGAATATCATCTAGTCCACTTCATCCAGTCTATATTATACCCCTGCTCAAATGTGATACTATCAGAAGTATCTTCATTTGACAGATATCACATCTTAGACTTTTATTCCAGCAGGGGTGTGGATGCATGGAAAAGAATAAAGTGGCAGACACTCCTCATATATTACATTTACTGTATGGCCTTATTATTGTTCGGTTGATTACAATTTTACTCAGGTGGTATACATCTTCTAGTTACAACTGAAATGATGGAGCAGAGATTTTTTTACCCAATGGAAAAATAAGATCATGCAAATAAAGTCAGCACAACATTTGGCTGTGAAATCATAGAATTACATCATTGAAAACTAGAAGTGAAAAATACATATTTTGAAAGTTCCTCAAGTTATTCTTTCAGTTAAAAAGAATTCTGGTTTTAATTATGATGCTGAAGAAAGGGAATAAGCCCTCCTGACCTAGTTTTCTTCTTGTGTTGATCTTTATATAGAAGAAAGCCATTCACAGATTTCTCAGCCTGAGTCTGTGTATTTGTTGAGTTACATCAGAGGTCTCCAAATTTGGCAACTTTTAAGACTTGTGGACTTCAACTCCCAGAATTCTCCAGCCAGCATAGCTGAGTGATGCATGTATTTATAAGGATTGTTTCAGCAACCACACAAAACGGCAGAAGTGTATATTTCCTGGTGGTTTTGGAAAGTTCTCTGAAGGAAATAACATCCTGTGAGAATCTCAGTTATTTTTTGGAGATCCATAATTGGAGGATAACTGACTTAATCACATGCAACCAGTAGCAAGTCCAGGGATTCAGTTTGAGACCAATGAAGTAGAAAGGGCAATGTTTTGCAATGACAACAACAAACCCCAAATTCTCCCAAAGCCATAGTTCTACTTTACATGGACTACAATTTCAGATTTAAAAAAAAAATAGTGAGTGTGATCTGAGAACTTTTACTGTCATAAATAGTTTAATCTTCGATCTACTTATTACGAGAAGAATGGATAGCTTATGTAAGATCACTAACATACTATTATTGTAATTGAAAGCTTGAATAAAAGGACTGCATTGGTTTCCTTGGGCTCCTTAGGTACACACATTTTTCTAGGTTACTTTAAGGTATGGAATTTTGTTATGTTCCATAATTCCAGTATCCGACTGACAAAACATAGATGTGCAAAAATATTTGGTGTTATTTTAGTTGGTGGTATCTATGGTGATCTCCTTTTCTAGTTCATTGAACTAGTTGTCATAGCTATATAATGGCTGACCCTTCTAGATATACAAGATAAATTGAGTGTGTGAGTACAAGCAAGTAATGCATTCTTATCCTTAGATACATGGATTACAATATCCTATATTTTTCAGCCAGTTTGCTGATTCATTCTGGAACATGACAGCATTATTGTTACAATGGCCTTAGTCAAAATTTTACTTGGCTCACACATTAGAACAAGCTATTCATCTGGACTATTTCTTAGATCTTTTTTAGGTTGCTTACCTTTGACATTTGGAAATCTCTTGATGATAGTCCTGCAAAAGATTGCTGTGGATGGCTTTTATGTTCCCAAAACTATGGAAGAGGTAACTAATTACATTTATCACAACACTGCCCTCCCTTCCCTTAACAGGGATTCCCTGCTTATTTAATTTTCTGAGCATATGGGATTCTTTAAAGCTTTATATTATTGGTCCCACATTTATATTTTCTAAGAAAGTTTATTGTATTCATTTGAAGAAAACAGGCATTCTTGAAAATAAAGATGAGAGACTGGAAGATGACACTTATAATTACAATATACCAATTTTCCACTATTTTTAATTAAAACAATAAGAAAACAGGCATTCTTGAAAATAAAGATGAGAGACTGGAAGATGACACATAATTACAACATACCAATTTTCCACTATTTTTAATTAAAATAACAAGAATTCAGATTGGATCTAGTGGTACTAAGAACAATGTCTGTACATTACTTTTCCCAAGCAACATATAGATGATTTCAGCATGTGTTAGATCCTATATGCTAGAATATCGTTTCTTAATGTTTCTTCTGGATTTTCTGAATATCTATTCATTCCAAATTGTGCAAATGCAAATTTAAACTGCAAGTTGTGTGCATATTGCTGGAATTTTCCATGGTACATACATTATGCACACCTTGTCATAGCATGTCAGTTACTCTGTTACAACTGTGAGTGAAACTGAACAAGTCTTCAAATCAATGACTCAACAGAGAAAAATTAGTCTGGAGAAGAACAAATTCTTACCCCAGCAGATTTTACCAGTTTTGCATATTTCATGGCTATTTAACATTTGTTCCTAAGACATATCTTCAAGTGAGGAACATGTGGAATAGTATAGAAGTTTTGTTCTGTTTCTGATTACACCTTTGATAATTGGTACAGACTGTCCTGTTTTCTAAGTATGAGGCTTGTCAAATCAGAAGACACAACTCTTCTGAAATGTGTCATTGAAAAATGGGCCTTTGCAATGTGCGTGTCCTTAAAAGGGCCTATCTTTAGGTAGTAACTAGGCCAGTTCATAATGAGAGAGGCAATCTCTTGGATAGCCAAAATGAAATCATATATACTTTGAAATTATTCTGGAAAACTGGTAATCACAGCAGATCTCCCAGACTGATATGTTTTGACAGTTTTACCCACAAAGGAATTGTTATGTTGGGACTAATTATTCCAATTGTGATGCACTTTACCAGTCTTATTCAGGTCCCAGGAGACTATGAAAAAATCATATGGGTATGAGAAAACTGCAAGGGAAGGATTATGGCATGAAATTTAGGAAAGGTATTTGTGATTGTATGGAAAAAAAGCTTTCGTAATTAAACATTGTCATGTACTGGTAGTATCAGGGCATATGAGGATTAATAGGAAATATACTAATGACAAATCTTGTAAAATAGAGAATGAGCCTTGATCTTGAAATATAGTGCAGTTTGTTTATTTAATTTCATTTTATTAAATTTATTCTAAATGCCCACTCCCAACAGGCTCTGGGCAGTTCATAAAATCTAGGACCAAGTTAAAACAAATTAGAAGATGAAAACAGCCCAGATTAAAACAAGCTTTTAAAACATCAAGTGACATGGTGCCCCCAAGTATTCTGTGGCCTGGCCCCAAAGCCAGATCTTAAGAGCATTTCAGAATCTCAGGAGATTGAGTGCCCTTCATACCTCTGAAGGGATGTTTTCCAGAGGCTGGGCGCTGCCACACAGAAGGCGTCCTTCCTAGGTCTTGGAAGATGGCAACATTTAATAAAAGGGACCTAGAGCCCATCTATTCTGACCTCACTATTCTGCCCAAATCAGGAAAGCAATCCCTCAGATAACTAGGTCCTATGCAATGAAGGTCTTTCAAGGTAACAATTAACACCTTGCAATGCACCTGGAAAGCCAGCTGGTAGTTAGTGCAGCTCATATAGCAACTTGACACATAGGCACAATGAGAAGTGGCTATTACTGCTTACACTTTGAACCAACAGCAGCTTCCAGATGTTCTTCAAGGTGACTTCGTGTGAAGCACATAGCAGTAGTCCAATTGCGGGGTTACCATGGTATGAGTGACCATCTGCAGAGCCACCTATTCAAGGAAAGAGCACAATTGAAGCACAAGATGTACCTGTGTAAAGGCTAATAGATTCAGCAATAGCTGTCAGTCCAGGAGCCCCCCCTAAGTTCCACACAAGTCTTGAATGGGGTAGAGCAGCCACATTCAAGGCCAACAGTGGAAACATTTCCAGTTTTTGAGGAAGGGGAATCGCCATAGCAACTCAGTCTTGTCAAGATTGAACCAAATTCTTTTCCTCCCCATTCAGACCTAAACAGCTTCCAGATACTGGGTTCATACTTCTACATAGAGATGTAAAGCTGGGTATTTTCAGATACTGAATCAACAGATGACCTCACTTTTCATGTAGTTGTTAAACAGGAGAGGGAAAATGGCAACCTCTGAGCTATATCATGAATGACTGCAGACACAATTTCTCCCTGTCAATCTCAACTGGAACCAACCACTGAGGAAGGAGGCGAAGTACTACAGCACATTCCTTCTTGCTCCCAGCCCCTACAAGTCCAGAAGGATATCATGCTTGATGATATTGAAAACTACTAGGAGCAAAGGATGGATTTACTATGCTCCCACCCCGATCCACCAGGGGTTAACAGTTGTGACCAGCTCTCTCCATATCCCTGAAGCCAGCCTGAAATAGATCCAGATTATCCATTTACTCCCAAGAGCCTCTGTGACTGCTGTCCAACCACCTCTTGAAATATGTG